TGGAGGCGTTAGTCCGTCGAGTTCAACAACTGGAATCACAAGCTGTCAGTCACCAGACTTCCCCCGGAACTTTCCCTGAATCCTCCCAGTCTTCCCTCAGCTCTACTGAGAGGGAAGCTGACTTCTTGTGGTCTTTTGGACTTTCTCGCTCGTCGTCCCAGCAAGTTTCTAACTTCTCTTCCACACTACAGCAGCAAAACTCCCACAGACCCCACCACCCAAGGCGGATAGAAGAGCCCGATGAGGATATTGAGGAGGAGGAGAGCGACGAAGATGAAGACCTGGACTCGAGGACTCGACTGGTACGCGAGGAGGACATCAGTTATCTACGGAACCATGTTCAGAAACAGGCGGAGGAAATAAGTTTTCAGAAAGATATTATCGCCCAAGTGCGTGATGAATTACTACAGCAGGAAGAGCAAACGCGACGGGCTTTGACCAAGGTGGAGAACGAGGATGTCGTCCTGCTGGAGCGGGAGCTTCGCAAACACCAGCAAGCCAACGAAGCTTTCCAGAAGGCCTTAAGGGAGATCGGTGGCATCATCACCCAGGTCGCTAACGGTGACCTGTCAATGAAGGTGCAGATTCATCCCTTGGAGATGGACCCCGAAATCGCTACATTCAAACGGACGATCAACACTATGATGGACCAGCTGCAAGTGTTTGGTAGTGAGGTGTCTCGAGTCGCACGAGAGGTCGGAACGGAAGGCATCCTTGGTGGCCAAGCCCAGATCACAGGGGTCCATGGTATCTGGAAGGAGCTTACGGAAAACGTCAACATCATGGCCAAGAATCTCACGGACCAAGTGCGTGAGATTGCTGTGGTCACAACAGCTGTCGCCCATGGTGATCTGAGCCAGAAGATTGAAAGCCGGGCCCAGGGTGAAATTTTGGAACTCCAGCAGACCATCAACACCATGGTGGATCAACTTCGTACATTTGCCACAGAAGTTACACGCGTCGCACGTGATGTCGGTACTGAGGGTGTCCTGGGTGGACAGGCTCAGATTGATGGAGTAAAAGGCATGTGGAACGAACTCACGGTTAATGTCAACGCAATGGCGAACAATTTGACTACCCAAGTGCGGGACATCGCTACAGTCACGAAAGCGGTTGCCAAAGGTGATTTGACACAGAAGGTCCAGGCCAACTGTAAAGGAGAGATTGCAGAGTTGAAGAACATCATCAATTCCATGGTGGATCAATTACGACAATTTGCACAGGAAGTCACGAAGATTGCTAAGGAGGTCGGCACAGATGGCGTCCTCGGTGGTCAAGCCACGGTCAATGATGTGGAGGGTACATGGAAGGATTTGACCGAGAATGTCAACCGAATGGCCAACAATTTGACGACACAAGTCAGAGAGATCGCTGATGTCACTACCGCCGTAGCAAAAGGTGACTTAACTAAGAAGGTTACTGCGAATGTCCAAGGTGAAATACTGGACTTGAAGAGTACGATCAATGGCATGGTGGACCGACTCAACACCTTTGCCTTTGAGGTCAGCAAAGTCGCTCGCGAGGTCGGCACGGACGGTACTCTTGGTGGTCAAGCCAAAGTGGATAACGTTGAGGGCAAATGGAAGGATCTTACCGATAACGTCAACACTATGGCCCAGAATCTGACATCGCAGGTACGGAGTATCTCAGATGTCACTCAAGCCATTGCCAAGGGTGATCTCAGCAAGAAGATTGAAGTGCATGCTCAGGGAGAGATCTTGACGCTCAAGGTCACAATCAATCACATGGTTGACCGACTCGCTAAATTCGCGACTGAGTTGAAAAAGGTCGCGCGCGATGTCGGTGTTGACGGCAAGATGGGCGGACAGGCCAATGTTGAAGGAATTGCTGGAACATGGAAAGAAATCACCGAGGACGTGAATATTATGGCAGAAAACCTCACGTCCCAGGTGCGTGCATTTGGCGAGATCACAGATGCTGCGACAGATGGCGATTTCACCAAGCTTATCACTGTTAATGCTTCTGGTGAGATGGACGAGTTGAAGCGAAAGATCAACAAAATGGTTTCCAACCTCCGGGATAGTATTCAGAGAAACACCGCTGCCAGGGAAGCAGCTGAGCTTGCTAACCGTACCAAGTCTGAATTCCTGGCCAATATGAGTCACGAAATCCGTACACCTATGAATGGTATCATCGGTATGACGCAGTTGACGTTAGATACGGACGACCTCAAGCCTTATACTCGCGAGATGTTAAATGTCGTGCATAATCTTGCAAACAGCTTATTAACGATCATTGATGACATACTAGATATCTCAAAGATCGAGGCAAACAGAATGGTTATCGAAAGTATCCCCTTCACAGTGAGGGGAACCGTTTTCAACGCACTGAAGACTCTTGCGGTGAAGGCAAATGAGAAGTTCCTTAGCCTGACCTACCAGGTCGATAACACAGTACCAGACTACGTTACTGGTGATCCCTTCCGTCTTCGTCAGATTATTCTTAACTTGGTGGGCAACGCCATCAAGTTCACGGAGCACGGAGAGGTCAAGCTCACAATTCGGAAGTCGGACCGCGAACAGTGTGCGGCCAACGAATACGCCTTTGAGTTCTCTGTATCTGACACCGGAATCGGCATTGAGGAGGACAAACTTGATCTGATATTCGATACCTTCCAGCAGGCTGATGGCTCGACAACGCGCAGGTTTGGTGGAACAGGCCTTGGTTTATCTATCTCGAAACGCTTGGTGAACCTGATGGGTGGTGATGTATGGGTTACGTCTGAGTATGGCCATGGTAGCACATTCCATTTCACGTGTGTTGTGAAACTCGCCGACCAATCCTTGAACGTCATTGCATCTCAGCTACTGCCATACAAGAACCACCGCGTCCTCTTTATCGATAAAGGGGAGAATGGTACACAGGCGGACAATGTTATGAAGATGCTCAAGCAGATGGATCTGGAGCCATTAGTTGTCCGTAACGAAGATCATGTTCCGCCCCCGGAGATCCAGGATCCATCAGGCAAGGAGTCTGGTCACGCTTACGACGTTATCATTGTGGACTCAGTTGGCACGGCACGGTTGCTCCGGACGTTCGATGACTTCAAATACGTACCTATTGTCCTGGTCTGCCCGTTGGTGTGCGTAAGCTTGAAGTCAGCCCTTGACCTTGGAATCAGCTCGTACATGACCACACCATGCCAGCCCATAGATCTCGGTAATGGCATGTTGCCTGCGCTCGAGGGCCGCTCTACTCCTATTACTACCGACCACTCCCGTTCGTTTGACATCCTCCTGGCAGAGGATAACGACGTCAATCAGAAACTGGCCGTTAAAATCCTAGAGAAACACAACCATAAGGTCTCCGTCGTCAGCAACGGTCTGGAAGCCGTGGAGGCCGTTAAGCAACATCGGTACGATGTCATTCTGATGGACGTGCAGATGCCAGTCATGGGTGGTTTTGAGGCAACAGGTAAGATACGTGAATACGAGAGGGAATCCGGTCTAAGTCGGACGCCGATCATCGCTCTTACTGCACACGCTATGTTGGGAGACCGAGAGAAGTGTATACAAGCTCAGATGGACGAATATCTCTCGAAGCCACTGAAGCAGAACCAAATGATGCAGACCATCCTCAAGTGTGCTACACTTGGTGGTTCGCTTTTGGAGAAGAGCAAGGAATCGCGAATCTCAAGTAGCGGCGAGATGCATCCGGTTCATCACGGCTCCGACGGCAAAGGCTCACGTCCGGGCATGGAAGGTAGATCTATCACTGCATCGAGCACCGTCAACCGGGGTAGCCTTGCAAGCCCCAGTGTCGAGAAGGCTGAGGATCTTTCCATGGAGCGGGTAAGTCAATAGAATCTTCCATCATCCCACGTCTGAGCAAGCGTGCTGATCTAACAAATGAGCAGGCATTGCTGCGGTCCAATAGCTCGTGAAACGTTCTAGAGATCTTCCTTCGCTTCTTTTTCGTTTCATTTCATATTTCAAGTGGCTTCGATGCGAACCTTATATACCCTTTTCATTTGCGCGCCTGTAAGAAATGCTTCTTGTCATGGTTGACCTCAAGGTGCCTTTGTTTCATTTTGGATTTTTCTTTTCGGGGGAAACTCTTCTTGATTCTCACCTCACCTCCTCCTACCTACTGCGTCTCTCGCTTATTATTCCCCCATGATCTAGTCGAACCTGCTACTACTCTGCATATGTTTTTCACTGGATCCACGTCGACTGTCTCAGCCTATATGGCCATGCTTTCTCTTGTTTGACCATATCATATTCATCATGGTTTTTTTTTTTTTTTTTTCTGATTTCGGTTCTTACTATGCCAGCTATTTTCTGGTGTAAGGTGTTGGGCGTATGGAACCACTGGCGGGGTTCTTCCAAATAAACCTGCGGCATGGGATAAAGACAAACACCGGGCGAGCTGAAGCAACTGTTGAGAGGGGAGCCAGTATCCCCCGCCCTAACGGTTGCCGCATGCTCTTGCATATCGTGCAATTGGTTTACCCGGATTTCCTTTCGATTCTGAATCTAAAGATTCTTTCTCTTTTCCCCCTCTATCTCACACGCATACCCTTGCGTTGGGCCTTCTCTTTTCCCCGTTCCTATTTGTATTGTATTTAATCTTTGTTTTCTCCTCATATTAGCAGATGAAACTTTTGGCTTGGGGTCCTGGAAGCTCTGGATCTGCAACACTTTCTCCCTTCACTTTCCTTATCCTCTTCTTTTCGGCGTGTATAAATTGTTTTTCAGGAACGGCTATGCGATTACTGTCCTCGAAAGGAATCACACCTAAAGACCTTACGACTAAAGTGACTGACTACTACACACGCCTGTCGGCCTTTTCTAGTACGCTTATAGACTACCAATAGTAAAAACGAAATATCATTCAGCAAACATCTACCATTCATCCACTAATATTAAGGATATAAACGGTCGACAGTAAAGACTCTGTAAGCAACGTGCGCCTGCATATCTGGTCCACCTAGATACTTTCAAGAAGAAAACAACTACTTTCTCGATACCTTACAATTTTCATTCCTCATCGTCGTTATCGTAGTGCGGCTCAAAAGGCCTACCGGTTGTCTTGGGCTTCTTACCCGTCTCGGGCTTAGTGAAATTCCAATGCTTCCCCTTCTTTGCGTGCCAACGGGGATATGCCCTCTTTTCAAGGGTTGTTTTAGGAGGGGGGTCATCACCGGGAGGGTCATCCTCCGGAGTTTCTGTGGGAGGGACGGTTGGTAGGGTTGTCGTTGGCTTCACTCCTTCCTCTGAAGAGGATGAAGGTTGGGTCGGTGTCACACTGCCAGGTGGTGAAGCGGTGGGTACCGGAGGACCAGGAGGTGAACCAGTTGGGGTCTCCGTTGGGGTCTCTGTTGGAGGTTGGGTTGGGATACTGGTTGGAGGAGAAACTGGTTGGGTGGTTGGGTGCTCACTTGTTGGAGGTTGAGCTGGTGTTAATGGCGCCGGTTTAGTCTCTTCCGGAGTGCTTGTTGGAGGTTGCTCACTGGGTGGAAGCTGGACTGGAGTACCTGGTGGAGGCGCCGGCTTGGTTTTACCTGGGGTGCTTGTTGGAGGTTGAGCTGGTGTGCTTGGTGGCGGGAGTGACTTGGTTTTTCCTGGGGTGCCTGGTGGAGGAACAGGTTGGGTAGTCGGGTGTACACTGGGCGGAGGTTGAATTGGTGTGCTGCTTGGTGGTGGTGGTGCGGGTTTGGTTCCTTCCGGAGTGCTTGATGGAGGAGCCGGTGGTGTAGTTGGGTGCACACTAGGTGAAGGTTGAACTGGTGTGCTTGGTGGGACTGGTAGGGTTGCTCCTGGGGTACTTGGTAGAGGAGGAACAGGTTGGGTAGTTGGATGCACGCTGGGTGAAGGTTGCACCGGCGTGCTGGTTGGTGGGACCGGCTTGGTTTTTCCTGGGGTACCTGGGGGTGGGATCGGCTTGGTTTTCCCTGGGGAGCTTGACGGAGGAATGGGCTTGGTTTGTGAAGGTTGCACTGGGGTGTTCGTCGGTGGATGGATGGGGGAGATGGTTGGAGGGATGGCGCTGGTAGGCTGAGGCTTCACCGAGGAGGATATAGTCGGAATATGCATAGTGGCTGATGCTGGCGGGCCCCCAGATGTTGAACCTCCACCACCGGGCCCCACGGGGATGGTCGGGCATGGGGATTGACCTGGTTGACTGGGACTGGGGCTGGGACTGGGACCTGGTCGACCACCACTTATACCACTTGTTGGACTAGCTCCAGCTCCTGGTGTGCCGGGTGGCACTGGAGAAGACGGGGAAGGAAGAGGTTGAGTTACACCTCCACCACCACTAGGAGTGGGTGTCGGGACACATGCCGTTGCAGTCACAGTGATGGTCACTGCTGTGGCGGCGGGGCAGGAGGGGAATGAAGGGCATGGAGAGCAGGGCCCTGCAATTTGAATGATTAGCTGCTTGGCTCAATAGGAATGACGGATCTGGAGCGGTGGTACCTGGGTGGGACGAACTAGGGCGTGGCCTGGTCGTTATCTCTGATATTGTCGGCATCCAGCCTGAGGATATAACACCAGCTGTCACTCCATAAACAAGGCTCCAGGAGGCAACAGCCAGAGTAATCAAACTCGTCGCGGGAACCATTCTGGATGTCAACCAATGTTGACACAAGAGGTGGAGGCTGAAACAGCAGATGTGCCGCAGAGGAAGCAGTAGGGGAATCGTAAAGTACAAATACTTGAGCAATATTTCGTGCTAGATGGATTCATGATGATTGTTGTATGTCATTGAACCAAACGTTGCATATGAGGCGTGTCCTCTTTTCGGAATTGAACGATCATGACACACTTGTGAGCCGTCATTGTGACTGACAAATTTCTCGGGAATGCTTGAGAAGATAAAATCCAATTCCAGGAATGGTAGAGTGCGTACGGAAGGCTTCTCCGGGGTCGAAATATAGGCGTCGTTATGACCATCCTCCACAGCTGGACGTCCCGGGACTTCACGTCCAAGACACTTCTTGTTATTTCCATGAACAAATGTAATTGATGATTGCTAGACATTAACCTTTCCCGCTAACTTTGCTTGCTAAGATCTATGTGTTTTGCGTGTCATTGCCTTTAAGGTCGTATCATTATGTAGTAACGTCATTCTTGAATCAAACGAGAGTCCACTCCTTTGGCCAATTCTTTTCGCTTCGCCTTTTTCAAAATTAGGTTCTTCATTCCGCAACCCAGGTGTAACTGAGCCACGAGAGAGCTTCTCCAAGTTGGTACCGGCTTCAGTAAAGTGCCCAGGGCTGACGCCAGCCAACGTGGATTATTTTCACAGCAGTAACACAGGCAAGGCCGACTGCATAACAACAGGTCGTGAAGACAATGAGTCCCCAGTATTCTCCGTTACAACGCGATAGGATCTCACCCGCAATCGGGATACCAGTAAGAGTGCTATAATAAGGGGTCGTTAGCTCCTAAGCTCGGCATCTTCCATGCTTGGACAAGACACAGGGAGCTTTTTAGACTTACCCAAAGCTCACAATCGTGTATGATGTAGCATAGTATCGCCCATAGTTCTCGATTTTACAAAGCTGAGAAATACAAACTGGGGTGAGGCTGATGTTACTGCCACTCGCAAAACCAAAGATAACGCTGTAGACAACCATAACTGGCACGCTATCGCCAGCAGGGAGCCAGAGGCATGCATTGCAGACAAGGCATAAAGCGACAGTGGCAATTAGGGTGTTATAGCGCCCCAGGGAATCGGCGACAAAACCAGGGATCCATCTTCCGAAGAACGACCCTGCGTTAAGAATCGCCAGTAACTGGTACGAAAATTGGCTGGACACACCGTGAGCCAAGGCGTATGAGGAAATATAACTAATCGGAACGAAGAGACCCCATTCGACGAAGAATATTCCAGCTGTTGTGAGAGCAAACTTGGGCTCCCGAAAGATGCGGAAGTCGGGGAGTACATTCTCTTTGGACGCTGGCTTCTTGGGTAATCGGGACTTGACCAGCAGGCAGGAAAGGATCACTAGAATCAGACAGATTAGACCGACCACACGAGTGGCCCAGGCAAATCCAATCATTGGGAACAGCTTTTCGAGAATGAGGGGAAACGTAACACCTCCAACAGAACCGCCTGTTGCAGCAATGCCTGTCGCAACGCCACGCTTCTCGTTGAAGAAATGACCAATCGCAGATATGGCTGGCGTAAAAATTAGCGAGGCCCCCAGGCCTCCGGTGACACCAATCACAAGCATGAAGTGCCAGTATTGGGTGCAAAGCCCCAGAGTAGCCATCTGCACAACGACTAATACTGATCCTGCAAAGACAAGAAACCGCGGGCCTTTGGCGTCGAAGATCGGGCCAATCTGGACACCGCAGAAAAAGGTGAGGAAGGCATACATTCCAAAGATCCAGCCAGTGCTTCCTGAGCTATAATCTTTAAGCTGGTGGTTGTCGAGGTAAGCCTGAAAAGTTCCTATAGTATTGACTAGACCCAGCGCGGCGAAAAGGCCCGCCCAGCTACCAAACACTACTAGCCAGGCCTCTAGCCCGCCTTCGGGGTAAGTATTCCCATCAGCGTCAGTGGTTACACGGCTCATCGGGGCACTGTGCGCTGAGTGGTCGGTCTGGGATTCGAGGGACGGCCTGTCATGACCATGCTCGAGAGTCATTTGCCCTTCCGGTGAAGGATCATAGCCGGGTTGTGACGCTAGCGGAATCCGATGCCCGGCATCATCAACGGAGCTGAGAGGTGCATTTGGGGCATCAGTCGATGGCTTTTCGGACAATCCGAGGACTGCCACATCCGGGAGAGCACCTTGGGTGGTAGAAACTCTGGAGCTGTCTTGTTCTATCGCGCCTGTATGAGGATCGCCATGGAGTCTGACGTCGGTCGACATGTTAGTAGTGATATAGGGCGGAAGTGGACCGCGGTTGACCTTGATTTCGCTTTTTTCCCTTTTCCTCTCGCTACTGTCAGAACACAAGCCAAAAGAGACAAAAGCACAATGGCGGTAGAAACACGTTGGTTAATAAAGTAAACAATTACAAGAAAAGAAGAGTACGGAGGAAAATACGAGCAACTCTCGGGTAAGAGTAGTGGGAACTGAAGTAGGTAAGACCGAAGAAAAAGAAACTGGCCACCGCTCGCACTTGTAATTAACTCCAAGGGCAACCTGACTTCTTGGCCGGTGGAGTCTGAGTCAGTTTTCTCCGAGCTGTTCTCCAAGAGGAATAGTTCTCATTGGTGTGTTGTTCCTTATTCTCCCTCTTTAAGAGATTTTAAAGCATTTTCCCCGCGGCTGGCAAGTAGCACTAGCCGGGATCAGGAAGGTCCGTGGAGTGGCCCATATATGCCAGCCCTGCGAATCCTACCAAGAAAAAACCTACCTGGTGAACCAACAAATAGATAGAAGGCCGTAGGCGCGATGTCAGGAAAGTGTGAAAGGGACAAAAGGTTTAGAAAAATCCAGCATGGTCGAAGGGCGAAAATAGTAAAAAAGTAGGACACAACGTCGACATTCTAGTAATTGATTAGTCGGATCTCTTGAAGATCAACTTCACCAGAGGATGGCAGCATTCAATTCCACGACCACAGGTGGATAATGAGTCATATCCATACAGGGTGGCTTCGTTGCAGACTAGGACATGTCGATTTCATCCGAGCCGAAAAACATATCGACGGGTCTCCTGGGCATCAATGCGCGTGCGGAGTAGATCTGATGGGGTTTCTTAACCTCTTTCTTGGAAGCCACAGTGGCAGCGTGGCATTATACTCTTGTCAGCAGCTATGAGCTGTATCACTGGGGTCCGTGGTTATTGCGCAGAGGTTGGTGGCACCCCTTCGAACCAAGTATAGAAGGTTTTCCCTAGAGATAGAATTTATAGAGAAACACGTGATGGACATATGAGGAAGGAAACTCCGACGGGAGTCTTTCATTTTTCAACTGGTTCGAGGTACAACCTTTCGGAAATGAATGTTTGGGTTGTCATTGACAAGCCAGAAATAATGCCTTCTACAAGGGAAGGTATGTCGGCGTAGATATTGACAGCGGTACCTGGAGGTAGGTGTAAGAAGGGATGATGGTAGATTGTGTTATATCCATCCACAAAATACAACAAACAGCTGGGCACTTTCTGCTTTGTTCACGAGGCTATCAGGTGACGACTATGCCGACACGGAAAGGCTATTATTGTTTGTCTCCTTTGATTGCGATCCGTCCAGCATTTATAATTTAATTGTCGATATTATTGCCAGATAGATATAATGCTATAGCAGAGAATAGTAAAAATGAACGACTCAGACAGGTAAATGGACATTCAGCGATCTTCAAATCGAAGAATAGAGGAGGTTTCAAGGTATAGATGTACCATGTATGAACATACATCCATCCATACTCCTTCCCAGGCAGACTTTCTAATCAGATTTCCAGATAAGGACACCCCTCCTCTTTCTCTTATTGAGATGTTCTTTGGGCTGATTAACTGATAAGGTTTAAACGTCGTTACATTCGGCTGGACAGGAAATAATGTGATTGATGGATCGAATAAAAAAGCGACGATAAGATTTAGAGGATCCTCCACGACAACCCTCCCCCCCTCGGGCGCTCGTTGCATTCTTAATGTCGTGATCAATACACATGAGATGCCTGTCTGGGTCAATCCACAACATCCATTGGTTTGTTTGAACACATGTTCATGCATCTGAACCGAGAGAAACCGAAGAGTGATTTCATCACCCTATATCATCATGAGACCCTACCCGGTGACTCTCGCCATGGGTGCAAACAGAGCAACGCGATTTGATGGGATCTAGACTTGAATACTAGACTAACCGCAAATTAAAAGCAGCCTTGTCGATACCAGGAACATCCCTGTCCTTTGTTGTTCAATCAAATTGTAGCAGACGCTAGATCCATAAGCCGTCCAATTAGTATGGCAATTGGACATGTTCAGTCACGCAAGGGGTAGGTATTCAAAGCTTTCCCGACCGTTGTCACATAAGACTTCCCATCTCCAGATTCCAGATGCAGACAGCCACTCTCATTATTGGGTGTTTTTCACCCAATGACTGTCCAGGAATCTTATCAGTCCCCTGTCAAAAATGTCATGGTTCCAGTAGTTCTATCTTTAAAAGACATTTTCGGCCTCCACAACGTCCCCAACATGGGTACGCTACAGGTCTTAGCATGCATCCGATTCTTACCCCTACTGGATATTTATAAATAAATACTCCAGGCTTCCCCGACAAATCTGAAAAAGACTTTGTTTGTCTCTCAAGTTCATCGCAGCCAGATCGCCCAAATCCGACTCAGAATGCGCTTTCAAGGCTTTCTGCTGACAGCTAAATTGGTCATCTCATTATGCACCGCCAAGGCATGTGCTTCAAAGCATGGACGCTCTAATAAGCCAATGCACGAACCCTCGGTCCTAGACAAGAGAGCATCGCTATCTTCGGGGAAGTCTCAACTCCGCTCACATGATAACTTTCGATTTCTCAATGACGAGACGAGGCGTATGTATTCATACCTCCTAGTGGAAGAATGCTGACATAGGTATATGGATTAATAGCCTACCTCGTGGAGAGCTTGCCTGATGTGCCGTTTGACGTCGGTGAATTGTACTCAGGATCAGTGCCGATCGACAAGGGCAACAGCTCGAGAACTCTCTTCTTTGTGTTCCAGCCGACAGTGGGGGAGCCTGTAGACGAAATTACAATCGAGGTTAATGGGGGCCCAGGTGCTAGCTCCCTCGAAGGTTTCCTTCAAGAGACCGGCAGGTTTGTTTGGCAACCAGGAACCTATGCGCCAGTAATTAATCCGTATTCCTGGGTAAATTTAACCAACATGCTGTGGTATGTTTTGATTGTCTCCCTTAGGGTTCCTTTCTAATGTACATCGCTCGACGCTAAATTTATATGTTCACCATTAGGGTTGATCAGCCCGTTGGGACGGGTTTTTCTACAGGCACACCCACTGCTACCACTCAGGAGGAGACCTCCAAGGACTTTGTAGATTTCTTCAAGAACTTTCAAGACATCTTCGGAATCAAGAAGTTCAAAATTTATGTGACCGGCCAGAGCTATGCCGGGCGCTATGTGCCTTATATTGCTGCGGCAATGATGGATCAAAATGACAAGGATTACTATGACGTCCATGGTAGGCTGTTTCTCTTGCAAAAGGGGAATTAGGGCTCACAGACATTCATATGCTGATGTTTAACAATGTAGGGGCACTGGCTTACGACCCGGTCATTGGCCAGTTTGACTATGTGGGACAACAAGTGTCTGCTGTGCCAACTGTACAGCAGAACACTAACATTTTCAACTTCAATGCAAGCTTTATGAATGAGCTACAGAGCCTTCACAAATCATGTGGTTACCAAGGCTTTATGGACGAATATCTTACTTTTCCCCCATCGGGGGTTCAGCCTCCGAGGTCTTTTGATCCTACCAGCGACGCTGATTGCAATGTCTTTGATATGATCACCGATGCAGCTTATCTAGTCAACCCTTGCTACAACATGTACGCCATCAACCAGATGTGTCCCATTCTGTGGGATGTCCTTGGAGGACCTACGAAACTTCATTACCTACCCGCCGGGGCGACGGTGTATTTTGATCGCGATGATGTCAAAAAAGCTATGCACGCACCCAATATGACCTGGTCCATGTCCTCCCTCCAGCCCGTCTTCGTTGGTGGCGACGCCGGAGTCGGGAGACTGGGTGATTTGTCCGCCAACCCAATCGAGCATGTTCTACCTCAAGTGATCGAAGCCACAAACCGAGTTCTCATCAGTCATGGCGATTACGATTTTATCCTCCAGACCAATGGAACCCTTTTGGCTATCCAGAACATGACTTGGAATGGGCAACTAGGGTTCCAGTCTCAACCGAGCACGCCGATTGAGATTGACCTGCCGGATCTCCAGTATGCAGAGGTTTTTGAAGAGAACGATCTTTTCTCATGGCATAGCGGTCAAGGAGTAATGGGCATTCAACACTATGAAAGAGGACTGATGTGGGCGGAGACATTCCAGAGCGGCCACATGCAACCTCAGTACCAGCCCAGGGTCGCCTACCGTCACATCCAGTGGCTACTCGGGCGGACTGAGAGATTGTAAGGTAAGGGGCATATGAAGAACGGGGTAAGTTGGGACCATGGAATTGGAAAGATGATGATATGCTACATATACCTAGATTCTGTTCTGATATTAAACTACCTATTATGTCAGTTCTCGAGATAAGGAGACAAGGGTTTTGACCGACGGGAATACATTTCCTAATCAAGCATATTCCTAGAAGCATCCGCTGATTGGCATACAATGTTCCTGATACCATTTTTTAACCCGTCAAGGTAAAAACCTTCACACAGCCTCCAGATCCTTGAGACTTTATTTGACTTTCCAGATATACTTCCCATCACCTTTCCCGCCAACCAGCCTGAGATCTCCGTTGTAACGAGCAGGGGTAGGACAGCGCAGCCACAGAATGATAGGGAAAGCTGTCTATCCCGACAGTACCTCAAGACGTTGGGAAGAGAAGACTGCAAGCATCATCGATGTACTCCTCGTAGATCCATACATGTAACGTACAGATATACATACATGTATAAACATGTACGGACCCCGTGGTGGAGACAAAATACATGTACCATACTTGTTTCTACCTTGCCCTATACAGCGCGTGATAGCGAAATCCCAGCCTAGCATGATGCTCGACTGATAGAGAATTGTATTTAGTTCTTCGTCACAGTGTACTAGACAGTGCCACGGTCGGGACACATCCAAAGTATGTTCACAAGGCACGTAGATCGGATACAGGCCGCCACAGATAATCTGGTACCCGGCAACATACATGTATGTACAATATGTATGTACCATCACGATCACGATCACGATCACAATCACGATCAACGATATCTCGTGACCAGAGATTTCCCCGGATCCATCAGCCCTTCCTCATTCCGAGGAAAACTGGAGACCAGGACATTCTCCAGAGTACGGAACTAGGGAGTAACCGAAATCATACCCACCGATAAAGTCCTCTGACAGTCTCCATGTACGAGTCTCAAGTTGGTATAGTTAGACTTTTGGAGTGGAGTTATAACCTGATATATGCACTCCAGTCGCAGTTGACTGCGTTCCGTCCGGTCGCACTTTGTAGGGTACGATGTCCACATTAGTCCCCATCGCAATTTGTAGTACCAATGAATCTCTCCAGTTTCATGGCATTATTCGTAAGTGATGTTCCTGATATTTCCCCATCAGACCACGTTACCTGTCGTTGAATGTCAATCGTACCATTGAGGATTCCCCCGTATCGTAGAACTAGAGTAACGTAGGAATAAACAATTTTTCTCCTCATCTTCTCCTCACCTTATTTTTGTTCCCCCTCCATCTTTCTTAGTCGTTTCTAGATCTCTCCCCGCATTCCTGCTGATCTGGTGACGCCACGTGCGTATTTGACCTTTTAGTCGTCATTCCGTGAAGGTAGTATGGTGTCTGGATGTGGTGACAACTCTTTGGAGATCCAATATTTTGGTTGTTGGATTGGGAAAAGGGCGGTTGCACTTGACCATTCCCGAGGACGTGGGGCGTGATTTACGGGCCAATTTACAAGAGATAATGTAACACTATTCCGCGATGAATCTATGCTCGTATATGAGCAAGGAGGGTTAGTATGTAATGGCGTAATTGCACTGCTTAAAATAAATTAGAGAGAGGAAAAAAAAAAAAAAAAAAAAAAGGAAAAGAAAAGAGATACTTCGTGTCATCTAGTACATTATCACATTTCTTTTCCCTCCTTCTCTCCCAGATTTGCCAGAGGTTGTCCGGCAGTAACTTCCATGCTGCATGAAAACTTGAACCCTGTAAATACGAGTCGTTGATTGGGGTTGAAGGGCGAAAGTGGAGCCGAGGGCAAGAATCCTACGCCGGGATGACGGATGCGGCAATGACCGTCCCCTTCGCCTTTGACGATCAATACTCGGGTGGGAGGAGATTTGAGCTGAGCTGCATCTCATAAGACAAACGACCTCGTGTTTTTGAGATGCATTGCGTTACGTGGATTGTTTATGTTGACGCTATCTGCGTTGTTTTTTTCCCCTCTCCGTCTCTTACCTCTTATAGAGGTTCTCGTGAACATTGAAAGAGTTAGGGTTTAACATCCATCCTGCCAAGGAGGCTGTCTGAGCTAACCGCTGTAGGGTTGGCCTTACCAAGAGAATAGAGAAAAGCTTTGCCTTTTGTATTGCTTGGTATATACGGGATTTTGCATACAGATTCAGTATCCTTAACTTTTATTTAGTGTTATCTTCTTTTTTTTTTTTTTTTTTTTTTTTCTCAATAGCAGGGAAATGTCTTCCCCAAGCGGGATTAGCGTGGCCATCTTACATTCAGACCGATGACGTAAAGCAACCACTAAGACCATCTCGGCACGTGGACTGATATACTCGTGATAATTATACCATTTGCCCCTCATGTTTTCTTTGGAACTCCACTCTAACTGTCCAATGGTTACAATCAAAGTAACAAAATAGGCAGATGGATTCCTTGGGCTCCGAGGACTAGATAGTAGTAGATACCTAATCCTACGGTATCTTCAAAGAAGTCCAAAGAATTGCGGCGGACGACATTGTCTTACAACCAACCCGAGCCAAGAGATGACCTTCACCGGGTTGTCGTCTGGGAAGCTAACTTGTTTCCAACTAGCGTTCCTCAGCTTCCAAAGGACCGCGATACTTTCGCCTTCTGACCACTGAGAGGGCTGTGGAATTTGCTTAACTATGGTTCGACATATGAGGGAGCCGCCCGAAACTCTTTTATCCGGCTTTGCTTCGACGATATCAACAGTTGGTAATGACGGGTTGTCTGGTTACCCGTCGCTGGGGTACGGTAAAAAAAAAGGTATCGAAGGCAAACAAAATGAGGCACGTGGTCATACTTGTTAAAAAAAAATATTAAGGAATCTCTGTAACCGTCAGACTTTTTGTACTGAGCACACCTTTCAGCAACGATCTGTAGGCCGAAGGTCACCAAGAAGTTAACTAACAAGTTTAGCGTGCTGTGCACAAAGAGTTATGATCGTATGAAGTACAGATCTACTCCATGGTCAGACGCAAGAAGGGTCCAATAGACCTGCTTGTATAGGTTAGTCAGCTTGGACCGGACTCGCCGCAGCCTTCGCCGGTTGCAACTTTACCTTCACCCAGGACCCGTGGCGACTCATCCATCTGCACTGCACTGGCCGATCCACCGTGATTCTCCAATCATGTCCCCCCTCGAGTCCCCATCGCTTCTGGCTGGTGTTGGCTTCTCTCAAACCTATCAACGGCCCGTGTTGTGTCTCCCGCTTCTAGATCAGTTAGGAGTGGTACCTAGGTAGGTACCTTTTCCCTGGTGTTAATAGTATGGATGTACAGTATTAGGTACCAGTACGGCTCCGTAAATTTTCAGATACACCGTGAGCATGCAAGTAATGATTATGGAGTGATTCAGTGGGTTGGAACTCACCACCCGAGGGCTCTTCGTGTTTCTACAGGTTAACTGTGGTTTCCAGCAGACAATTGACCTATGTGTCGACGTTATCCATCCCATGGGGCGTCAGCGAAAGGGTATGGTAGCAGATGGCATCATTGGCTTGCAATACCATTCAGGTGATTTTTCCGTGATCGCCACATTACAGGCTGGACGGCTTCAACCGAATGAATGTAATTTACAAATACCGCCCGATACGGGGGGCCCATCGTCCGTTTTACGCCAAGGAGAGGAAAAAAAAAAA